GGGGCCCCTGCGGGCGGCGCCCGGGGCTCGGGGGGCGGCCCTCCGCCGTGGCGGCTCAGGAACGACGTGTCCCCGAAGGCATCGCCGCCGCGCCCCACATGCAGCGTGTGCCGGAAGTCGCCGAGCGGCGCGGAGATGGACAGGGCGCCGCGCTCTGGCCGCTTCTTGGGTTGCACCGGGCCCAGCTGCTTCAGCACCGGCATCTGCGGGGTAGGGGCGGGTCAGCGCTGCCTCCACCCCTGAGGGGGCGCCCGACGCCTGCCTTGTCCCCAGCTCTCCATAAGGACAGGATGATGGTGGGGGGTGTTACTCCCATTTTACAGGAGGGGAAACTGAGGCTCCCAGAGGCCTTAGGTCACAGCTGCTTGATTCAAATCTCAGGTTCAAATTTAGGTCTGCCCTTGACCACCACGCTATGCTGATTCCACTAACAACTATCATTTGAGCTTCCTATAGGCCAGGCAAGGAACAACACGCTTCACCAGCCCTTCTGAGTGCTTCCCAAACTTGACAGAAAACTCCAGCTCCTCACAGATGGAGATTCCCAGGCCTGGTCCCTGAAGACAGGGCTGACTTTGTCCATTAGGTGCCCCAGGCACAGTGCCTGGGGCCCACTACACAGGAAGAAGTGAAAATGTTTTATTTTAGGGGGCTGGCCCGGTGGTGCAACGGTTAACTGCAGGCGCTCTGCCTAGGCGGCCTGGGGTTCCCAGGTTCGGATCCGGGGCCCACACTGATGCACTGCTTGTAAAGCCATGCTGTGGCAGTGTCCCATATAAATTAGAGGAAGATGGGCACGGATGTTAGCCCTGGGCCAGTCTGCCTCAGCAAAAAGAGGAGGATTAGCGTCGGATGTTAGCTCAGGGATGATCTTCCTCACCAAAAAAAAAAAAAAAGAAAGAAAATGTTTTATTTTAAAATGTGTGGATTATATTTGTCTTTATATCAACACAGCCTTAAAATATAAATATATAAATCTACGTACACACACCCCGCTGAAAGCTTTGCCTAGGGCACACAAAAGTCATCCTGCCAGGAGATTCTAATTCGGGAGGTTTAGGGTGGGCCTGGGAATCTGTATACTTGCACGGCATTTTATAATTTGAATTATCTGATTTTAAAAGAGATAATGTCTCACTCTTTGTAAGATGATAATAATATTAATAAAATTTCCCTATGTTAAAAAACAGCGAGAATGGCATAAATTGGAAGCTGGCAGCTTGTGAACCGTAAGCCAGGTACACTATTGTCACGTGGCTGCCCCGGGGATTCGATGGTCAATAGAAATGCCGGCCAACCTTTGCCCGTATCCTGGAACTTGGGTGTTTTTATGGAACTTCTGGGAGGGACTGTGGTGACCTTGGCGTTTTGTAATAACTACAGTCACTGTCACTATAATGAAAGATCTTTCTATTCGCATTGAAGCCCCACCCTTTGCCAGCTGTCTGAATTGGGATAAATTATGTGATCTCTGTATGTCTGTCTCCTATCTGTAAAATGGATAAAATAACACTCCTTTCCTTTCATGGCATATAGGAAAACTCAACCAAAGTAAACCACGTTTGTCATAGGGCCAGCCAACTGGTAGTGCTAGTGTTGGGGGTGGGGGGAGGGAGACGTGTCCCCAAACAATAACTGTGGAACAGAATTTAGATTTGATAAACTCCTATGAGGAAGCCACAGCAGCCAGCATTGTTCTCTTAGTAACTAGCACCCTGGGAAATATCAGTCATGTGGAGAGAAATTAAAGCCAAAAGAATTTAAAATAATTGTAGATGGATGTGTTCCGGGCGCTGCCCTCTACCCTACCCAAACACACACACACATACACACACACACACACACACTTCACATTTGTTTCTCTGGGAAAACCAGTCTTGATTAACCACCTCTGCAGTGCTTCTCAAACTTCTGACCTCAACCTAGATGAATAAACATATTTTTATTGCAACCTGGCACACTATCTCCACTCCTTCTCCTCCTGCCCCCCACATAAGGGAAACATTAAATTTCGTGAAACAAGATTTACTCTTGTAACATGCTAGGCACTTGGATATTTTCAATGCCAATCTATTTTATTTTTCTTTTTAAAAGCTGACCTCCACTCATTAATGAATCTCAATCCGCACTTTAAAATTAAAAAAAATCCCCTCTTACTAACAGTGCCCATTATTACTCTGCAGTGAGTTATGGGTGAAAAGAGCAGAACTCAGACAGCCAACTGCCCAGGTTTGGGTCGGCTGTGCTCATTGCTGTGCAGGTTTGGGCAAGTTACTTAGCCTTTCTGAGCTCGTGTCCTGGAAAACGGAATGATACTCATACAATACTTGACGGCCTCTTTGCAAGAACTGGTGAGATGTTGCCCATGCAGGTCTTGGCAGAGTACCCCCCCACACAGCACATGCTCAGTGGAGTCCCTTGGATCATTCACCCCCGTCCCAGACAAGGAAACAGACAGAGGGGTTACATGACCTGCCCAAGGTCACAAAGCCAGCTCTGTGGGACTCCAGAGCCAGAGTCACCACTTCCACTGCCTGCTGCCCTGTGAAGTGACCCCTCCCTGGGCGGCTCCCAGCCACCGACTCCTTTGCCTGCCCACTCCCCAGCTTCCCCCTCATCCCGTCCCCCTATCGCCCTGCCAGGCGACCTTTAGATTTGGCTTTCTGACATCAAACACACCTGGGCTGCCTTTTCCTTTCTGTGGGACCCTGAACTAACTTCCTCAACCTGAAACCTCGGTCTACTCCACTGACAAACGGGCATCAGAATGCCTGTTGGCTAGGAGTCCTCGTCAAGTAGACTCACGATGCTTCACTTCCCAAGCACTTATTCCGGGCCAGACACCGCCTACGTGCTTCAGAGATGAACGAACTCATTTAATCCTCAGAACCACCCAATGAGGGAGAGACCATTATTATAACGTCCATTTTACAGATGCGGTGGCTGAGGCACAGAGAGGTGAAGCAACTTGCCCCAGGTCACAGAGTAGCAAATGTTGGAGCCAGATTTGGACCCCAGGCAGATAAACTCCAGACTCTAAGGATGATATTCAATTGCTCATAGCCCCCTCATAGGATAGGGTGGGCCAGTGTGCATCCCCATGGAAAAAATAATGTTTTGATTTGATATGAAGGCCAGGGATACTCTTGAACATTTGTTCTTCTTCTCTCTCTCTCTCTTTTTTTTTTTTTTTTTCCATTCTGGACAAGAATGAGAGAAATAGTTTTTTGGTTTTTATTTGTTGGTGTTTTTTTGGTGAGGAAGGTTAGCCCTGAGCTAACATCTGTTGCCAATCC